GAGCAGCAGCAGCATCTAGCCGAAACGTGTTCGGTTCACACAACATAATTAACGAGAAGAGAGTAGACGTGTCCAACTAGCGTAGCCCCGCGGCTAAGCTTCCGGTGAACATGAGAGAATTTCTTCTGCTGTTGGCACCAGATTGGTTGCTGTTAAGGCGGCGACGGGGACCTTTAGCAGCCGTCCGGTGGGTCTCGATCGTTTGATCCGATCCGATGGAATGTTCGGCTTCCCGGGCTAATCCATATGTAGATGGACTTTCGGTGGTTTAATTAGTCAGCCTATTTCTGTTCACTGGCATAAATGTGTATAGTATTCCTCGCAAAATAAATAAATATGTATGGTATATTGTACTACTACTGTATGTCAATTATGCAGAGCAGATATGGTCAAAGATGCATGGAGTATGATTCCGAAAAAGAAGAAGAAAATGCATGTGGAGAAGAGAGTATTGTGCCCGAATCATGACAGTGGGTGAATTAAATGGAAAAGGCTCCCGTTTGTGTCGACCGCTGACACCGACGGGCGGAGTCAATTATGCTAATCCGAGCAAACTGTCGGGAGCATTCTCACTTGTGGATTTTATTGCTAGTACGTATACGTACCTGTGGCAGCGGAAGCACCATCTACAGTATGGTGAGGCCCTTCCCAATGCTTCAAGGTGTACAGGTGCTAAGGACGACACATAAGCAAAGTAATGATGTGGCAAAGCAATTAAAAAGGAGAGAGAGCATTATGATGACCCTAAGAAGAGACGGTGCTAAGCACGTGAACCTAAGTAAAATGACTATCAACCAATACATGAAGGAGATTAATTATTAAACAATTCTATGAGGAAAGCTTAGCTAGTACAAAAGCTAAGCACTTAGGCTGGTCACAATGGGCAAGAACATAAGCTAGTAACTTACACACTTCCCTAGACTATGTTACTATCTCCATAGTGGGTAGGAACATCTATGTAGTGTCATGCAACGATGTATTTATTAGGTTATAGACTCATTGTTTCTTGGAGTGTGTGATGTTTCGGTAACTTAGCTAGTTACCACAAGCACCTCTCTCTTCATTAAATATGTGCCACATAAGCAAAGTTGTATTGGAGTGTGTGATGTTACTCCTAAGTTCCTCCCCATTGTGACCAGCCTTATGCATTGAGGGGACTAGTTGCTAAGATTTTTAATGCATTTAACATCTCATCTAAGCACCCATGCATTGAAAGAGGCCTGAATGAAGAGTGTGAAAAAGGTTGGTCTTCCCCTCGCTGTCGATTCATTCCAGGAATGGTCGGTCGTTGACTCGATGTCAACTGGTTGGTTGGCTGGAGCTGCAGCCTCGGTTCGTTTCCCACGGCGACCCGCGAGCAGAACCGACGACCGGATTTAGAGCTGGAGCTGGATCTGGGTCGTGCTAACCTCGAGAGAAATGGAGGTTTTTCCCTCCTCGCAGTCGGTCTAGATTTAGATCTGTATGTTTTTTAGCTTGAAATGGGACGTTGGATAGGATAGGATGGAACTGATCCTCTGTCTGTAGCCACAAAAACAGATCCGAGCCACGATCCGCAGAAAGCCGTTCTTTTTGCCGTTCGGCTTTGCATCTATCCGTCCTTTTCGGCGCAGCACATGCGATACCTAACTGCACCAGGAGAGAAAAGCAAGAAAGAAAAGATGGATTCCTGTGAGTGACTTCGGCGTTTCGAGCCAAGACGCACGTACATCGGTACATGCATACATACATGTGGCCTCTTCGCCGTCACGATCATTGCCGCCGTTGCCCATCTCCGCCTGCGCGTGAGCCGAGGATGATGCCTCAACCACTTTGCCACTCTCTCATTGTACTACCCCTTTTGTGCAAGCCAAGGGAGATGGTGACTGCGACCTCCTCCTTCTCGACGATGAAGAAGAAAAACCAGAAGAAAAAAAGAGAGTCCACATGTAGCAGACCGTAGGGCAAAGAACCGATGATGAAGAATTGCTGCTGCCGCTGCTGCATGTGCATGGCCTCGGCTGCCAGGCTACGCCTGCGGGACACGGCTCACGAGGGACGGCAGGAATCAAGTCAACTCCGGCCGCATCTCGTGATCCGGCGACCTCTGCTTCCCTCCGCCACGTGCCATGTGCAACGCGCCGATCAGTGAAGTCCAAGTCCTGCTACGCTACGCCTGCACTGCATGCGCAGCAGCTCAACCTTCAACGCCCTGCCTGATGAAACCCCATCCGCCACCACTGCTACTACCTAGAGAGAGAGTCAATCGGAGCACAAGTGGAAATTAAACAAATGGAGATTCATTGCCACTACTGCTAGCACTACGTGGATAAGAACAGGAATCTCGTAAAGCTCGAGGAGATAGAGATCGGTGGAGCTTTTGACCGTTCGTTTGTCCCTTCCACAGTACTTAGCATCACTGCCATGGCAATGATATTACGACTATGATATGATATGATGGCTACAGTGTCGGATGAACCGGCTTCCTGCTGCCAAGAAATGATGTTAGTCGAGTTAGGCAGTGATCCACCAGAAAGACACGCGAGCTTATTGGTAACAATTTTGACACAAAAGCGCGCTAGATGTGCTAAACAACTCCCCATTTGCCGGGGGTCACGCATCGCACTCAGACGATGAGTTACAGTCGATGTTTCGGAAGGAGAACGTCCACTCAACTGAAGACGAGCATGATTAAAAGGACCAAAGCGAGTGGTGAGCTTGAGCTCTGCCGTGGCCCATGCGTGGTAGACCGTTCCACTACTGCCGACCACACACTCGTCTCATCCCAATCATCTATGCTGCCAGGTCTCGACAAGGATTGCTCCTTCTAGTTCTCGATTGTTCCAGAAGAATAAGCTTTTCTCTTTAAAGTAAAAAAAGTTGGAAACCGCTCGGGAAAAAAATGCGAGTGGAAGGGCTGAAGGTCTTTTTGTAGTTCTCGATTGTGCGAGAAGAATAAGCTTTTCTCTTTAAAGTAAAAGTTGGAAATTGTTCAGGAAAGTAATACCAGTGAAAGTTCAGAAGGTCTTTTTGTAGTTGCAAGAATCGAATGCCAATGGGCGATCACTGGCCGCGGAGGAGCAACTTGAAACAGCTTTCGAATTTTATTAAGTTGAAAACCGACGCGATGCTCTCCGCCTACGTCCGCTTCTTTTTTCAGCTCCTCCTCATCTACAATCCACAGCGATTATTGTACTGTGATTGAACTGAACATGAAATGGGAGAGCCAAACAGAGGGCAGTATATAATAAGAAAAAAATATATCAATGTCTAACAGTTCTGTTCAGCTCAGACTTTGTCGTCGTGTGCCTGCAAACGTGACAGCGGCATTGATGATAACCTAAAGTCGCCAGTCAGGTGCAGCACCAACACCAAAGTTGACCAAACAAAACACAAACTGTTTCAACGGCAGAAGAAACTCTTGCTTGCAAGTTGCAACTTGCAGCTGGCGGCGGCCCCCTCAACTTGGTACTCAGATTGATTGGTTTACATCTCTGACGTAGAGCACATGTCAAAGCATGCTAGTTATATACTCGTCTCGTTTCTAAATATAAGTCTGTTTAGAGATTCCAATAAGAGAATATATATGAAGCAAACGAGGGAGACTATACTCTATAATATGTCTATATATATCCATGTGTAGTTTGTATTGAAATCTCTAAAAATACTTATATTTAGAAATGAGGGAGTATTTCGAGGGTAATATTGATCGCTTCGTTTTAACGAAGCGAAGTAAAGTTGATTTGCTGCTCGTCGATACTATTTTTGTAACTTAATATAAGACGTTTTTTTTACACTGTCATGGATTGTAAAAACGTTTTAGACGAGTATCTTATTTACAGTTTTTTTTTTGAGTTGTTGATTGTTTGTTGAGATAGGTAAACCTAAGTCTGCATTTGAAAAAAAAGGAAGAAGTTTTTTTTTTGAGACATAAAAGGAAGAAGTGCACACACAGACGAGACGGGTGCTCAACAAGAAAACAGAAGTCCATTTCTCTCTGTGATCACAGTTTTATGGCCCGGCCCATTTATATAATCTCAATGGATGATGACATTCCCATAGCCCACGGCACTTTCCCGTGTATCTGAAATTCTGAACTCAGGGGTTTCAAAAACATTCTGAACGCAGGCACCTCTTTCTCTCATAGAAAGAATGCAGGCACCTCCAAATGATCATCATGAGATGGTCACCAATCCTACTTTTTTCGAACCGGCTTCCCCCCTTTCCGTTACTTTCATAACGGAAATACAATGTCTCAGGAACTGAAACTAGCAGGACTAGGGAAAGAGGAAAAGCGAGTTCAGAGCAACACCAGGAAACCCACTATCTGTGCCTATCATCAGGAACATCAGATCATGGGGCGAAAACCTGTTGTCATCCAAAACCGCACTAGGAGCATCTAATCAAGTATCGCACATATTACAGACGACATCAACAGGCCCAGGGCTAACGCCTGTAGATCACAAAAGGCCTACCAACATGACTCCGGAGACTGAAACAGGGAACGAAGGGCAATGCACGCCTGTTGTCATTCGGCAAGATCTTCAAATCGCAGCGACGTCCTGGTAGCAAAAACGAGATATACGAGACCTGCAGCAGTTTTTTACTCGTACTTCCTACTGCAAACAAGAGTCCTAAATATCTCCAGAAAATGATACTTGAAGTTGTAGTAATTACAGTAGCAAGAATGATCTGAAAACCACAGTAGCAAGATGAACACCAGCTCATATTACTGATCGAGCTTTCTTCAGAATTTCCAGTCTTCACAATGCTCAGCAAACCTACTCAAAACAAGAGTCTTAAATATCAGCAGAAAATGGTACTCGCAGCTGTAGTAACCACAGTAGCAAGGATGATCTAAAAATACAGTAGCAAGATGAAGAACACCAGCTCGTATTCCTGATCGAGCTTCCGTCAGAAGTTTCAGTCTTCACATCACGACTTACAACAGACAAACAACCGAGCAAGAAAAAGGAAAATCTCTCCACGGCTGAACACAGCAGATGCCTTGCTCGCCGCCCTCACCGGGCCACGAGCCCGCCCTCGGCGGCGGCCATTTTGCGGCAGTAGTCGGCGACCTCGCGGAACCTGGGCACGCTCCGGAGGTCGACCTTGGTGCCGTCCTTGAGCGTGATGACGATGTCGCCCCACTCGCCGATGAACCGCGGCACGACCACCACCTCCCTCACCGACGAGTAGGGGAAGTCCGTGCGGTCGTCGCCGGAGAGCCCGGAGATGACGGTCACGCGGCGGGAGGTGAAGCGGTACCGGAGGAGGAGCGCGCGGGACACGGAGGCGAGGGTCAGCGGCAACCACAGCAGGGTCAGGCCGAGGACGAGGTTCGCCGCCAGGTCGCCGTAGTGCGCGCCGCCGTCGAAGAACACCGTCTCGGCCTCGGCGCCGGCGGCGCCGGACGCAGAGGCCCGCGCGACCACGCGGGAGTGGCCTGCTGAGCGTCTGAGGGTTGGGTTTGGTCGGAGGGTGGCGTGGGCGGGGAGGTTCGGAGGAGGCAGCGAGCGGAGGAAGGAGGACGCCGCGGCGGAGGCGGTGAGGGCGGACGGCGGAGGCGGCATGGTCGCTGGCGCGTTATCTATGTCTCGTGGTGGTGGTGGAGGGAAGTGCTGTTGGGTTCGCTCGGTTTTCGGTAGTCATTTGTGTGCACTGGGGCGTGATACGTGGACCGACTGGAATCGTGCACGTAGCCTCTGTTAGCCTTCGTTACCAGAGTCATTTGTGTTCACAGGCTAGCGTTTTGCTGTTTCCAAATCGGTATGCACGTGGTTTGTATTATAATCTTTTAGAGTCTGTTTAAGCATATCTAAATGTGTCTCTAGTTATTACACATCTAAATGACTCAATCAAGTACGTATAAAGATTAAAAAAATACTCATATGAATCTTTACGTAAGATCAATGATACCATGGCACAATTAGATGTGCTTTAGCAATACTATAATTTTTACAATCTATACGAATTGGATGTACAATACTTATTACACATCTAGATGTGCTTTAGCAAAACTGTAATCTCTATGATATAAATGAAACACATATTACCATTTCAAAAAGAGTTATTTGTGTGCACGAGGGCGGTTTGCAGCGTTGTTCCGCGAGTTAAGGCTTTTTTCCCCATACCATTAATATCACTTCTGCACCAAAGATCAAGGGAAAAGCTTACCTTCAGCCCGCCAACCGCGCAGGCGTGTCCGCGGCTCCGTGTCCGTCAGATCCTTTGTTGATCTGATGGACGAGAGCACCCCATGTGTCCATGTGTTTCTGCAACTGAGGCTTTGTTTCAAAAAATAGAGTTTTGCAACTGCCTGGCTTTTTACAACGGCGGTGACTCGTGCGGCATGGAGAGCGATGGCGGCGAGGAATCTCGTCGGATCCGATGAGGATGGCGCGCGGGCAGGAGGCAGGGACATCCGGGAACCGTGAGGTGCTATCTCTTGAGCACTGCGTTGGATTTCCCCGAAGAGGAAGGGATGATGCAGCAAAGTAGTGTAAGTATTTTCCTCGGTTTTTGAGAACCAAGGTATCAATCCAGTAGGAGGCTATGCGCGAGTCCCTCGTACCTACACAAAAACAATAGCTCAACGCAACCAACGCGCTTAGGGGTTGTCAATCCCTTCACGGTCACTTACGAAAGTGAGATCTGATAGAGATGATAAATAATATTTTTTTGGTATTTTTGGTATAGAGATGCAAAATGAAAAGTAAAAGGCAAAGTAAAAACAAAGCAATAGTAAAGTGATGGAGATTGATATGATGAGAAAGAGACCCGGGGGCCATAGGTTTCACTAGTGGCTTCTCTCAAGAGCATAAGTATTCTACGGTGGGTGAACAAATTACAGTTGAGCAATTGACAGAATTGAGTATAGTTATGAGAATATCTAGGTATGATTATGTATATAGGCATCACATCCGAGACAAGTAGAACGAAACGATTCTGCATCTACTACTATTACTCCACTCATCGACCGCTATCCAGCATGCATATGAGTATTAAGTTAAAAAACAGAGTAACGCCTTAAGCAAGATGACATAAAGTAGAAGGATAGTTTCATGCAATATGATAAAAACCTCATCTTGTTATCCTTGATGGCAACGATACAATGCGTGTCTTGCTGCCCCTTCTGTCATTGGGAAAGGACACCGCAATATCGAACCCAAAGCTAAGCACTTCTCCTATGGCAAGAACAACCAATCTAGTAGGCCAAACCAAACTGATAATTTAAAGAGACTTGCAAAGATAACCAATCATACATAAAAGAATTCGGAGAAGATTCAAATATTATTCATAGATAGACTTGATCATAAACCCACAATTCATCGGTCTCAACAAACACACCGCAAAAAGAAGATTACATCGAATAGATCTCCAAGAGAGAGGGGGAGAACATTGTATTGAGATCCAAAAAGAGAGAAGAAGTCATCTAGCTACAAGCTATGGGCCCGTAGGTCTGAAGTAAACTACTCACACTTCATCGGAGGGGCTTGGATGATGATGTAGAAGCCCTCCGTGATCGATGCCCCCTCCGGCGGAGCTCCGGAACAGGCCCCAAGATGGGATCTCGTGGATACAGAAAGTTGCAGCGGTGGAATTAGGTTTTTGGCTCCGTCCCCGATCGTTTGGGGGTACGTGGATATATATAGGAGGAAGAAGTACATTGGTGGAGCTTCGAGGGGCCCACGAGGCAGGGGGACGCGCCCTAGGGGGTCCCTACCCTCGTGACCACCTCGTGGCTTTCTTGACGGAGGGTCCAACTCTCCTGGATCTTATTTGATGATAAAATCACGTTTCCGAAGGTTTCATTCCGTTTGGACTCCGTTTGATATTCCTTTTCTTTGAAACCCTAAAACAGGCAAAAAATAGCAATTATGGGCTGGACCTCTGGTTAATAGGTTAGTCCCAAAAATAATATAAAAGTGGATAATAAAGCCCAATAATGCCTAAAACAGTAGATAATATATCATGAAGCAATCAAAAATTATAGATACGTTGGAGATGTATCAAACATCCCCAAGCTTAATTCCTGCTCGTCCTCGAGTAGGTAAATGATAAAAACAGAATTTTTGATGCGGAGTGCTACTTGGCATAATTTAAATGTAAATCTTTTTAATTGTGGTATGAATATTCAGATTCGAAAAATTCAAGACAAAAGTTCATATTGATATAAAAATAATAATACTTCAAGCATACTAACAAAGCAATTATGTCTTCTCAAAATATCATGGCCAAAGAAAGCTATCCCTACAAAATCATATAGTCTGGCTACGGTCTATCTTCACCACACAAAGTATTTAAATCATTCACAACCCCGATGACAAGCCAAGCAATTGTTTCATACTTTTGACATTTTCAAAACTTTTTCGATCTTCACGCAATACATGAGCATGAGCCATGGATATAGCACTATAGGTGGAATAGAATGGTGGTTGTGGAGAAGACAAAAAGGGAGAAGATAGTCTCACATCAACTAAGCGTATCAACGGGCTATGGAGATGCCCATTAATAGATATCAATGTGAGTGAGTAGGGATTGCCATGCAACGGATGCACTAGAGCTATAAGTATATGAAAGCTCAAAAGAAACTAAGTGTGCATCCAACTCGCTTGCTCACGAAGACCTAGGGCATTTTGAGAAAGTCTATCATTGGAATATACAAGCCAAGTTCTATAATGAAAATTTTCCACTAGTATATGCAAGTGACATAATGAGAGACTCTCTATCATGAAGATCATGGTGCTACTTTGAAGCACAAGTGTGGTAAAAGGATAGTAACATTGTCCCTTCTCTCTTTTTCTCTCATATTTTTTAGGCTTTCTCTTTTCTTTTTTTGGCCTCTTTTTTTATATATTTTTTTCATCCGGAGTCTTATCCTGACTTGTGGGGGAATCATAGTCTCCATCATCCTTTCCTCACTGGGACAATGCTCTAATAATGATGATCATCACACTTTTATTTACTTACAACTCATGAATTACAACTCGATTCTTAGAACAAAATATGACTCTATATGAATGCCTCCGGCGGTGTACCGGGATGTGCAATGAATCAAGAGTGACATGTATGAAAAAATTATAAACGGTGGCTTTGCCACAAATACGATGTCAACTACATGATCATGCTAGCAATATGACAATGATGGAGCGTGTCATAATGAATGGAACGGTGGAAAGTTGCATGGCAATATATCTCGGAATGGCTATGGAAATGCCATGATAGGTAGGTATGGTGGCTGTTTTGAGGAAGGTATTTGGTGGGTGTATGATACCGGCGAAAAGTGCGCGGTATTAGAGAGGCTAGCAATGGTGGAAGGAAGGAAAGTGCGTATAATCCATGGACTCAACATTAGTCATAAAGAACTCATATACTTATTGAAAAATCTAGAAGTTATCAAAGCAAAGTATTACGCGCATGCTCCTAGTGGGATAGATTGGTAGGAAAAGACCATCGCTCGTCCCTGACCGCCACTCATAAGGAAGATAATCAATAAATACATCATGCTCTGACTTCATCACATAATGGTTCACCATACGTGCATGCTACGGGAATCACAAACTTTAACACAATCATTTCTCAAATTCACAACTACTCAACTAGCATGACTCTAATATCACCATCCTCATATCTCAAAACAATTACCAAGCATCAATTTCTTCTTAGTATTCAACACACTCATACGAAAGTTTTATTATTAATCTTGCATACCAAGCATATATGGATTTTAACCAAATTACCATGCTATTAAGACTCTCAAAATAATCTAAGTGAAGCATGAGAGATAAATAGTTTCTATAAAACAAATCCACCACCATGCTCTAAAAGATATAAGTGAAGCACTAGAACAAAACTATAAAGCTCAAAAGATATAAGTGAAGTACATAGAGTATTCTATCAAATTCCAAATCATGTATGGCTCTCTCAAAAGATGTGTACAGCAAGGACGACTGTGGTAAACTAATAAGCAAAGACTCAAATCATAAAAGACGCTCCAAGCAAAACACATATCATGTGATGAATAAAAATATAGCTCCAAGTAAAGTTATCGATAGAAGTAGGCGAAAGAGGGGATGCCTTCCGGGGCATCCCCAAGCTTTGGCTTTTAGGTGTCCTTATATTATCTCGGGGGTGCCATGGGCATCCCCAAGCTTAGGCTCTTGCCACTTCTTGTTCCATAATCCATTAAATCTTTACCCAAAACTTGAAAACTTCACAACACAAAACTTAAAGTAGAAAACTCGTGAGCTCCGTTAGCGAAAGAAAACAAAAGACCACTTCAAGGTACTGTAATGAACTCATTCTTTATTTATATGGGTGTTAAACCTACTGTATTCCAACTTCTCTATGGATTATATACTATTTTACTAGCCATAGATTCGTCAAAATAAGCAAACAACACACAGAAAACAGAATCTGTTAAAAACAGAACAGTCTGTATTAATCTGTAGCTAGCGCAAGATCTGGAACCCCAAAAATTTTAAAATAAATTGCTGGACGTGAGGAATTTATCTATTAATCATCTTCAAAAAGAATTAACTAAATATCACTTTCCAAATAAAAATTACAG